CTCCTCTCCTCTCCAACCTCCATCCGTCACCCTCTCGCTCCTCTGCCTCTGTCATCGTCCTCCCATCGCCCTCCACCATCACCCTCACCCTCCTGTCTTTGCACTCAGAGGTGCTCTTGCCCTTTCTTCGCTGAGCTCTGGATAGTTGCCAACGGCAGGAGCTTCTTGCTAACACGGGCACTTGCGGCGCCAGCCCCAGGACCAGTTCTCTCGCCCTTCGTCGTCCTTTTGCCCCAGGGCCCGAGCCAGGCTTCCGGTGGCCCGCATCACAGGACAGGCTGCTGTCGTTGCTTCCAGGGCTGGACCTAAACGGTGTTTTGGCGAATTCATGGGCTGTTTTCGTTTCGATTTCGTTTTGCGTCGAGGGCGGATTGAAGACACAACAAGGGAAAACGAAAGCAACACGAAAACTAAAAACACCGTTTAAGCCCTGGCTATTTCTTCGCGGCGGAACATGATGCACAGCCACCGCCCGGGGAGCCGGTGCCCCACGACCCCAGGAGGCGGTGGATCGGAGGCCGGGGGTTGAGCTCGAAGCGGAGCGCAGCGCCCCCCCCACCAGGGCACATGTTGATGCACGCAGCACTGGTAGAGGTCAGCCACCCCGTCGGCATCGGCCGTGCCCGTCGTGCCGTGCTTGGGGGGTAGAGTCCCCTGAGAACTCGATTCCACGGCCTTCGCTTCTGTGGAGCCATAGACTTTCAGAGGAGGAAAAGGTACCCATACCTCTACCCTTCGCCGGTTTTCCCCCTTTTGGGCCTCCTCGGAGGCCCTCGTTGCCACCGCTGGATTCGCCTCGAAATCCTGGTCAGAACGGACCCCGGGAGAGGTCCGGGGAGTAGCGATATCGGTACCTTTTTGTTTCCCCAGACTTCACGCACTGGGCCAGCGTGGTTTGACTTCCTCAGCGAGCCAGTCCCCACGGAACGAGGCACAGCGTGTCGTGCGTGCGGGCGAGGCGAAGCTGCGTGGGCGGACGAGAGGAATGACTCCGCTGTGGCTAGGGCGGGTCCAGAGCCGTTGACCGCGGGCGGGCGGGCGGGCAGGCGGTGGCGGGGTTGTCCCGCCGTGGTGTCCCATCGCTGTCCGCCTCTCCCCCGAGGTGGGTGGGCGGTGGCCGGGTTGTCCCGCCGTGGTGTCCCGTCGGTGTCCCGTTGGTGTTCCGCGGCTGTCCTGTCGTTGTCCCGTCGCTGTCCCGTCGGTGTCCTGTGGTGTCCAGCGGTGAGATCGAGGGTGAAACCGATAGTGAGATCGATCAGATCGGTCGTGAGAGCGATCGTGAGATTGATAGTGAAATCGATCTCGAGTGAGATCGATATAGATATCGAGCGAGTGAGATCGATAGGGAGATCGAACGTGAGATCGATTGGTGCCCCGATGGTGTCCCGATAGTGTCCCGTCGGTGTCCCGTCGGTGTCCCGCGGGTGTCCGGCGGGTGTCCCGTCGGTATCTTTCTCGGTGTCTCGTCGGAGTCCCGTTGGTGTCCCGTGGTGTCCCGTAGTGAGTTCGATAGTGAGACCAACTGAGATCGATCGTGAGATCGATTGTGGGATCACTAGTGAGATTTAGAGTGAGATCAACGTGAGATCGATCGAGCGGGAGCGATGGTGGAATCGATCGAGTGAGACCGATATTGTAGCGAGATCGATCATGAAATCGATAATGGGATCAATGGTGCGATCGTTGGTGACCTGATGGTGTCCTGATTGGTGCCCCGATGGGTGTCCTGATGGTGTCCTGGTGTTGTTTCGATGGTGTCTCGGTGGTGTCCTTGTGGCGTCCCGATAGTGTCCTGATTGGTGTCCCGATGGGTGTCCTGATGGTGTCCTGGTGGTGTTTCGATGGTGTATCGATGGTGTCCTGGTCGTATCCATAGAGATGGAGGTGGGAGGGATCGCAGAGAACCCGATACGCTAAACAGTTTCAATGTCAGCATTACCGGCAACGGCATCGGCTATGATATTGAGCGAATGATGTCCCGTCGCTGTCCCGTCGGTGTTTCCCTCGGTGTCATGTCAATGTCCCGATTGGTGTCGACGGTGCCCCGATTGGTATCCCGATCGTACTCAGAATCACCGCTGTTGCTGTCGCCGTCGCACTCATCACTGCGGCCAACACCTTGCCATCAGCAGCCAGCCATCACACCTAGCACCAACCATCACAGCACAGTAGTGGTGGCATTTATTTTGCCTCATGATGCCCTGGTGGTGTCTCGATGGTGAGGTCGGTCGAGTGGGATCGATCGTGGGACCACATCGCGACGCAGCATCGTCACCGCGCGTCGTCGCTAACTCGAGGGCGCATCACCCGCATCGTCATCATCACCGCCATCCCATTTGTCGTCAGTTGGTTCTTCCCCCACCCCACCAACCTCCTTATCACCCGAAGGGTGGTCGTATAGGCATGGGTATCTGAATGTATGAGCCTCCCCTGGGGCGCGACAATATCCATACCCACCGCCTCTTGGAGTTCTGGATGGGACAACACTCGCCCCCCCTGGATCCGCGCCGGGGTGGTCCGCGGGGGTGGGGGGGGAGTTGGGCACGTGCTGTCGGAACGGGTGGAGGTGGGCTCGGAGGAGGAGGAGGAGGTGGAAGAGGAGGAGGAGGAGGAGGTGGAGGACGAGGAGGGCGGCGGGGGAGGGGCGGAGGGTGATGGTCAAGCTCCGTCGGATGGTCAATCACTCCCCCCTCTCTTTGAAAATCACCCCATCGAGAGTCGACTCCCCAGGAGGTAGATCTATACGAGCTCCGGCCTCGGATTGCCGTCGGCGGCGGCGACGGCGACGCCACGGCGACCGCGACGAGGAGAGCGGCGCCCGCATAGACATCCAGAAGGAGCCCGCGGTAGACGGCTGCAGCGACCGCCTCGTGCACATCAGCGGGCCGCCCGAGTGCGCGGGCCCCAGCTCGCCCTGATGCCCCTGCGTGAAAGAACCAGCAGCTGTCCACGAAGGGAAGGGGTCCTGATCGGAAACTGGAGCATATACTTTACCAGTGGCGGGCTGTTTTTCAATCCCAGGACTTTTTTGAGGGTCGGGGACGACGTCTGGGTGGCGTGGTGTATATTTGTTGTCCCGTTTTCCCGAGGAAACAGCGAAACATGTATTCACCAGGATCCCGTATACACCAGGATCCGCTTTCTTGTGCGAATTTCGTAGGCGTCGTTGAATAGAGTTCGGCCCCTGGGGCTTTGTTTTCCGGTTTTTTTCTCGGGTTGTCGGGGCTCGCTGAGCGGGCTTCGGTATACTGTCAGAGACCGACTCGGGACGAAGAGCTGGTCCCTGGGGAGGGCCTCAGGGCTCAGGACCCGTTTCCTTTCGGACCCATGCTAATCAGGAGGGGAAAAAGCACAGACACAATTCATCGTCGATTCCCCGGAAAACATGGGAAACTATGGGAAATGGGGGGGAAGACGAAAACTCAGAAATTATGGGAAAATATTGGGATTCCTGTTGTTTGTGTCAATTTATTTGTGTGTCCCATGGCCCCTTCAGCTAAAGAAGATTGGCGGTAGTGAATGAGCCCAGTGAGTGAGCACACTGAAGGCAGACATTTGCACCCAGCTCCTGCTTAACTGGAGGCAGCTCTGTTTTGTTTTCATCCCGTGAGCTCATCGGACAGAGCATTCAATTTTTGGCTCTCCGTGGGATCACTGACGAAGGGCCTTTCGTGCAATTTTCGGCCTCTGAGGGCCCTCAAGAGGGCCCCAGGTCAGGTCAAGTTCGGGTCCGATCGAACAGAGTTCGGCCAACATGCGGGGCACGGACTGGAATGGACGAATGGTTTGGAAAACACATGTTCGGGCTACGAGGGGCGCGGTGGCGGGTATTTGTTCTCGACGTCAGGCCGGAGAATCGAGAGGAGGTTCCATGCGGGAGCTCAATTCTGAAAATGTGCCGCTCTCCATCCACTTGTCTCCTGTCCAGTCGGGGCGCTTACGGTCCTGTACACTTGTGTTTCCGCTGGAGAGTTGGCCACGTTTCGGTGCCGCGGGATATTGTTTCCGTCGTTTGTGCTGGCGTTCCTGCCTCAGCGCGGTCGCATTCCTGGATCCGATTCCTTCCTCGACGTTGCCAGTCCCCTCTTTTCCCTTTCTTCCGCCTTTCCCTGGTCCCCCCTTCCTCCTTCTCCGCCTCCTGCTCTAATCTCTCATCATTCCTCTCCTTCTTTTTCTCCTCCCCTTTTCTCCTCGACCTCGTGCCCCTACGAGGCCTTCCCTCATCTCCTCCTTCCTGCTTCCCCTTCTCCTCCGCCTCCTCCCCCCCCTCCTACTCCTCCTCCTCCTCCTCCTCCTCCTCCTCCTCCTTTCGTCCTCCCTTCCTGTCAGGCGATCGGTCGAATCCTGCACCCGCCAGTTGGAGATCAAAAGTCTGCTACGACGCCCCCGTCGTCGGATGGACGTGGATCCAAGCCAATCGGCAGGATGGGCGGGGTGGCCAGGACGGCAGATGTGGAACGAGCGCGCCCAGCTTGCCCCCTCCCCCCCACACCCCCCTTCTCGGCCTGCCCAGGCGAGGGGGGGAGGTCTGCGGCTGCCTGCCCGCAGGACGCACTTTTGCACGCGCGCTCGTGTGCTTGCGCTCCCTGGCGATGTGCTTTCCACGCCTTCGGCTGCTCTGGGCCGTGCCCGAACGCTCCCGAGGGACGGCCAGCGTGTTCGTTTTCATTCTTCATGCTCGGTCGCCCCGAAGAGCCCCTCGCGAGGACAGCTCTCCTCCTCCGCGCCCGACCGAGGACTTAGGGCGTTCTCTCGGCCCTGGAACGGCCTCGCGGAGGCATCCAGGGCACCCTTGGTGACCTGCGGGGGCTTCCGTAGACCCTGTCCTCCTCGCCTCCTCGTCGGTGCTCCACCCTGAGGAGGGGGAGGAGGGGGAGGAGGAGGAGGAGGAGGAGGAGGAGGAGGAGGAGGAGGAGGAGGAGGAGGCGGAGGAGGAGGCGGAGGCGGAGGCGGAGGAGGGAGGAGGAGGAAGACCCGGCTCCGGCTCCCACTGAGCCCTCCACGCTGCTGCCGCTGCGCCCGCCGCCGCCCCCTCCCTCCCCCTCGCCCCTCCGAGTGGCTCGCCGTGTGCACCACGTCGTCGTGCGCTCGGCCAGGGAGGGCCACGGAGCTCGGCGAGGGGAGCTCTCGCTGTGTACAGGCGCACCATCGTTTCCCGCGCGCTGGGCAGCCTGGGCGCCTCTGCGCCGAGCTGCGTGCCCGCAGCCGCTCTGGCCCAGCTCGCCTCAGGACCACCTGCCACCAGCCGCCGCTCCGGGCGAGGGAGATCGAGTAGTGGCGAAGCGTCTTGGCTTGCCTGTGCGCCCACCAAAGACTGTTCCGAGAACCGTTGTGTGGCTCGCACGAAAACAGTTCTTTGGCTGAGACCGTCTTGTTTTCATACATCGGGCTTCTGTTCTCGGAACATGTGTGGGATTCAAGGACACATCGTGGTAGGCCTATGGGAGTGCCGGGACGGTCGGCCCCTGCTCAGGAAGAGGACCTCGGGATCATGCGCGCCTCGACCGGCCGCCGCTCCCTCGCGCTGCCCGCCGCGCTCGGCGCGGGGCTGGCGGTGCTGCTGCTGCGCCGGGCGGCCCCGGGCGCCTTCTCGGCGCCGCAGGCGGCGAGGGCCCGCGGCGGCCGCACCGCGATGAGGTGATGGGCTCGCTGTCCACCACCACCACCACCATGAGTTGGAGGGGGAGGGGGTCCTCCTCCTCCCCCTCCTCCTCCTCCTCCTCCTCCTCTTCGTCCTCCTCCTCCTCGCCCTCCTCCTCCTTCCCCCCTCCAACTTATGGTGGTGGTGGTGGTGGTGGTGGAAAACGAGCCAATCAATGAGGGGCTTCAAGGAGGACTTCGAGGCGTGGAGGGGGTCGCTGACGCCCGAGGAGAGCACCATGCTCAAGAAGCAGGCGGCTGGCGAGTTCAACAAGAAGTTTCGCAAGTCCGACGAGTTCAAGAAGGACCTGCCGGACGAGAAGGTGCAGTCCTTCTCGAAGATCCTCGGCAAGTTCTTCGAGGCGGAGGCCGACGACTACAAGAAGGAGCCTGGATCGGAGGCCCCAGACCCAGATGGCCTGCTGTTCAAGGGCACCGAGTCCAAGATGGACTTCAGGCTGAAGAGCCGGATCGTCGAGATCGACCGCGACGCGGAGCGCCGTTACCACTTCGCCGCTCTGAGGACCACGCACGCCGCGTACAGGGGGGAGTTCTGGCCGAGCAGCTCCCCGATGAAGGATGTGTATTATTTCCAGAACAACGACACGGATTCGCACGACACGCTGGTGAAGGCGGTTGAGATGACAGGGGTCCCTGTCGAGATCCCCCCGATCGGCGAGAAGTTCAGCATGGTGCTTCCAAGATGCCTATTTCAGGATATCAACGAGGTCGGCGCCAATCTCATGGCGTGGAAGAAGGAGTTCGGCGTGTCGGATGACGACTACAAAACGGCGGTGGAGAAGGTCACTACTGACCTGATCCTGGGCTACTATCCAGTCGCCTGCGGCAAGTCCTGCTGCCGTGCTGGCCCAGCACCTGGGGAGGCGACTGTTCGGGGGGCGCGCAGGAGACCGTAACGTGCTACACCCTCGTTCCGAGGCTTGGGAGGGCCGTGGCGTGGGACTAATTCTTCCGCGCCGTCTCGGGGGTTGTCTTCTCGTCTTTGGCGTCCCCCCTCTTTTCCCCTTCTTGCTTAGGTGGGGCCGTCTTGGACTGTCTTCGGCCGTCTCGGGGCCCTCTTGGACTGCTGGGGGGGTGTCTCGCGGCCTTCGTGGGCCGTGGGATGTTTTTTTGGGCCGTCTCTTTGGCCGTCAGTTGGGCTCCCTGTGGCCGTCTTGGCTCCCTCGGGAGGCCCTCTTGGGCTGGCTTGGTGGCTCCTTCGGGGCCGCCCTGGGCTGTCCAGGGGACCCTCTTGGGCTGCCTTGGGACCGTCTTGGGAGAATTCTTGGGCAATTATTGGGCCCTCTTGCCTTCCTGGAGTCCTCTGCGGCCGCTTGGAGCTGCAGCCAGACAGGGTGAGGGCGCCCAAATCGTTTTGGAAAGCCTGGGGGGGAATACATGATTCTGGCCTCTTCGGGTCCTAATTGGTCCTCTGGTGGCCCTCTTGAACCGTCTTGAGGGCATTTGGGGTCGTTTTGAGGCGATCCTGGGTTGCCTCAGGACCATCTTGGGCCGTCCTGGATGCATCCTGGACCATCTCGGTCCATCTTGGCGGCCTTGGTTGCTTGCCTCGGCCGTCTTTCTAGCTCGGGAGTTCGGATTCATGTCTTTTGTTTTGTAAGGGATGGTGGCCTCGGGAGCGCGCATTGTGTTTCCAAGTAATCGTGACCTCAGTCGCGAGGGCTCATTTTGTTGCGAGGGGCCGTCGCCTCTTGAGTATGGAACAGTTGCTTTGTTACGAGGGAAGGAGGGGGGCGGTGCATGCAACACGTGACAATGAGAGGGGGGCATAATTACATAAGCCGTATACCCTGGCATTCTACCACGCCTCAACGTGCCAGTGGGGACGGTGACGGATAAGGCCCGCGAAACGATCGAGAAAGACGTCACGGACATGAAGAATTTCTTCAAGTCTCAGTCGAAGGACCTGTACAAGACCAAGGCCGATGTCATGAAGGAGATCTGGAGGGTGTTCGAGGAGAAGTCTGGCAAGAAGATGCCCCCACTGGACGATGAGTTTCTGGCGGATCTCGAGAAGATCCCTGCCGTGGACGAGGTCTCGTTCAGGCACCCCTGGGGTATCGCTGACAAGCTGTACAAGTCGGAGGCCATCGACGCCTTTGGCTTCAAGTACCTGCTGGGCGTCTTCGAGACCGTAAAGGAGGCCGAGGCGGCGTTCGACAGCTGGAACGCCGAGTTCGACCAGGCGCGCGCGGACATGGAGAACGAGCTGGGCCAGTGGAGCAAGCAGGAGCAGGCGCGCCTCGACGCCGACACCGCTGGCCAGGAGGCCATGAAGGTCGTGATGGAGCAGGGCAGGGCCTGAGTGTCGCGGACGGCCGCGGCCGTTTTGCGAGCGGTCCAGCGGCACCAGGGCGGCTCGGCCCCCCTGGGCGATAGCAGTCTACCCGTGGCGGTGATTCCGTTTTTGAGACGCCAGGGGAAACGGTTCCGCGCTCGTGCCTCTCCGCCCTCCACCTCCGTTCTCTCGGGATCGGGACGAAGACGATGGGCCTGTTTTCCACCACCACTACCACAAGTTGGAGGGGCGGAGGAGGAGGAGGAGGAGGGGGAGGAGGAGGAGGAGGAGCAGGAGGAGGAGGAGGGGGAGGAGGAGGAGGACCCCCTCCCCCGTCTACTTCCTGGTGGTGGTGGTGGTGGAAGGCCCATGCGACGACGACTGCGCAGGCGGGCCCGCATGGGTCCCGTCGGAGCGCCTCTGCGCGGGCGCTCGCAGCATGGTGGCGGCCTCGCGAAGCGGGGGGACGCACTGTCATGCACGCGGCCGGGCGTGCGCGTCCTTTCCGAGCTCCCCGGCGTCTGCTCGTTCTCGCCGTCGTCGTCCGCCTCGGCCCCGCCAGGCATTGCCCGGGGCCAGTCACTCGGCGCACAGGTGAGACCCCCCCCTGATGCAACCGCTGTGTGGGTCGCATTCGGGCCGTGTGGCAAGGATTCGACCTCGACATCGACCTCCATTGCTCTTCCCCCTGCTCGCTCCTCGTGCTCCACTCCCTCCTTCGTCTCCGCCTCTCGTCCTGGCTCTCTCCCTCGTCACCACCGCAGAGAGTACACGGGGAGTGCGGTTGGCAGGGAACGTTGCGGGCGCGGTCAAGAAGAGACCAGAGAGAGTTTGCACGGGATCCTCGGCTGCGTGATCTTTCTCGTGGGGTTGCTTAGGAGTGCTGGCTTGTCTGTCCTTGCCCTCTGAGGGAAAGGAATCGCTCCACACCCTAACTTGTTGAGAACCGACCACCACACTGTGGAATAACCAGTTTCACAAAGAGTGAGCAGGTTGGGCTTTCTTTGAGAACATGCGCCACCGATGTTCTGCAGTCGTGGTGTCCGCGCGTGCTCAGTGTGCGCATTCGCGCGCTCTTTCGAGCTGGTGCGCGTAGGAAGGTCTTTTGCACTATCTGCCGCTGAGACGACCGAACATCCATGTCGGTTCATTGGCCCCCGCCGATGGGGGTCAAAAGCGTGTCGGGGGTATGCCAAGGGTTGCAGCGTGATTGGTCTGGAGCCTGTGGGTCCTAGAGTCCGCTCCCGCACCCATTTTGGCGCTCAGCTCTTCGCCGAGGCGTCGAGTACGCCTGCAAGATGGTGGAGGACATGATCTCCAAGGCGCGCCAGCAAGGTGTGGAGAAAAGAAGGAGGATAATCAGGGGCGGCCAAGCGTACCTCAGAACAGCTGTACCCTGGGGAGGTGTTGTCGGGGCCCATGCCTGGACGCCCATGGGCTAGGCCTTGGCGCATGCCGTGGTACGTTGTCTTGGGGGGACGCTTGCTGCCTCCTAAGATGACGATGGAGAAGAGGTGGAGCTCGCGATGATGCCGACGACGATGTCGGTAGAATTTTGTTATATTGATGGTGGTGGCGACGATGACAGCGATAGTGAATATGATGCTGATGGTGATGATGATGGTTTGATGATGAGCTGTGCTGATGATGTGGACGGTGTTGTTTGCGATCACGATGGCAATTGTGATCACCAGGTTGAGCCAGAGTACCGTTAGCAGGAGCAGGAGGGTGGAGCAGCAGGAGGAGGGGGATAATGATCAAGGTAAGTATGATGGGGAGGAGGAGGAGGAGGAGCAGGAGTAGGAGGACTAGGAGGAGGAAGTAGAGGAGTCATGATGGGGTCTTCTTCTCTCCTTTCTTCCTTCCCTCCCCTCCCCCTCATTGCCCCGTCAGTGCTTTCCCTCGCCCATCTCCCCCTCCCTCTCATTTTTCATATTCGTGGACCTGATCTTTCTGTGCCAGTGCTGGGACGAAGCGGACGATGCTCAGTATTATATTCTCGCGTAGTGTTGTCTCTGGGAGGCTCGGAAGCAGGTTGTTACATGGCGTGCCCGCACTCAGCGTGCACGGCCTTGCGGTTTCTTCGAAGGGCACTTCTGTCGTCTAGACGGCAACAACGAGGGCAAGAACGACGACACACTGGACAGCGACCCGTGCGCCAACGGCACCAGCGACGACGCGGACATCAATTCGCCTCAGCCTCAACTCGCGGCATCAGCAGGTGCAGCCGTGGCTTTCTCTTCACGACCGGCTGCCGTCGATACGGGAGGCATTCCATTGGCCAGTGCTCGGGGCTGTTCCCGTTCAGTGCTTGGCTGCTGGGCGCTGACGTTTGTTGTCGCTGCTTAGGTCGCGTGGTACACCGATGCTACAGTCTCCAAGTCCTGCTTCATGTGTGCTCAGAGCCTTGAGCATTCAGATGACAGCTGACTTTAGGGAGGCACCGCTGCCATGAACCCTTCCCCTCCTTGCTTTTGCGGCGGCGTCTGTGGCGGTGTCGGCGGCGGCGGGGTCCCTTCGTCGTTGTTGTCGGTGGTGGTCGTCGCCGCTGCAGCCTCCGCCGTCGACTCAGAGGCAGGAGGGGTGGATGAGGGAGAGAGGAGTACCGAATGAGAAGGAAGAGGAGGAGGGGGGAAGAGGGGGCACGGATGTTGGAGGGGAGGGCGGAAGGAGGACGACCAGGCGAAGAGGGACACTGGGGAGGGAGGAAGGGAGGATGGGGACCTCTCTTCCTGCTGCGTGGGCCCCGCAGGCATGCCTCCCGACGTCACCCTCCGAGCGGGTTGGCCGCCCCGGGTCCCTCTTTTTCTTGCTGCTCGGCCCAGGGGGGCCCAGGGACGGCGCGGCTCCCGGCGCAGACCTCTCCGCGAAGACAGCCGCCCCCAATGCCACCGTCGCGGCTCTCCCGGCTAGACCCTGGCCCCCTGCTCCCCCCCCTGTGCCCCCCCCCCACCCCCCCCCCCCCGGCTCCCCCCGCTCTCCCTTGCCGTCCTCCCCCTTGCCCCCCCTCCCGCTGCCCCCCCCCTCCCTCCCCGCACTCGCCCTCACCCCTCCCTGCCCATTCCCCCTGCCCCCGCTCCCTCTCCCTGCCCCCGCCCCACCCCCCCTGGCCGCCCCCCCTCTCGCCCTTCCCCCCCCCCCTTCGCCGCCCCCACGCGCGAGGACCAGCGCACCCGGCGCTCCGACGGCGATCGCCGAGAGCGCTCGCGCAGCCGGGACGGGGGCAACGACGGATCGGAGGACTGCCATCGTTTTATGTTCCTTTCTCATTGTTTGTCGCCTTATCTTTTTCATCCTTCCTTCATCCTGCTGATGATCCTGATGATCCTCCTCCCTGTTCTCATCGGTACGATGGTCACCATTTCCCCGAAGCACCCCGCAGTTGCGGGTAAGAGTTGAGGGGGCGGCGGGGCCGTCGGCAGTCTGCGAGGCCCTGAAGCGTCCAGCACGAGGCGCCTATCTTTTAATCCATTTCACAATGAGCCTGTCGCAGGCGCCGAACTTTTTTCGAAGCGATGTGGGGGGGGGGGGGTCGCGGGGTGGGTCGCGGGGTGGATCGCGGCGTGGGTCGCGGGCGAGGACGACGACAAGAACAGCGCAACAAGGCAACAACAACAACACAGCAACACCAGCACCATCAACAACATTACCAACAACACCAACACTCACACCAACAACACCACTACTAACAATCATAACACCAAAAGCACCGACAACAATACCAACACTACCAACACTACCAACAATACCAACACTGCCAACAACGCCAGCAACAGCAACCACAGCAGAAACAACATGAGCAGCAACAATAACAGCAGCAACAGGAACAACAACACCAACACCAACACCAGCAATAGCAGATACACTCATGTTTAGACTTCCCTTTGCTACCCAAACCATCGATACCCGTCCTCTTCGTCTCCGATCGCACCCCGTTTGGGATATCTCTTCCTTATATGTCACGCGCATTCAGCGCAGCCCTCACAACAGTGGAGGAGAGAACGGATGGAAGGGCAAGGGAAAAGGATGG